CTGTCTGTGTGTGTCTGTCTGTGTGTGTCTGTCTGTGTGTGTCTGTCTGTGTTAGTCTGTCTGTGTGTGTCTGTCTGTGTGTGTCTGTCTGTGTGTGTCTGTCTGTGTTAGTCTGTCTGTGTGTGTCTGTCTGTGTGTGTCTGTCTGTGTGTGTCTGTCAGTGTTTATCTGTCTGTGTGTGTCTGTCTGTGTGTGTCTGTCAATGTGTGTCTGTCTGTGTCTGTCTGTCTGTGTGTGTCTGTCAGTGTTTGTCTGTCTGTGTGTTTCTGTCAGTGTTTGTCTGTCTGTGATTGTCTGTCAGCGTTTGTCTGTCTGTGATTGTCTGTCTGTGTTTGTCTGTCTGTGTGTTTGTGTCTGTTTGTCATGTCTGTGTGTCTTTTTGTCCTTGTCTGTTTGTTTGTCTGTCTGTGTGTGTGTCTGTCTGTGTGTCTCTCTGTCTGTATGTGGAGTGGGTAGTCTCGTTGGTAGGCTACCGGACTCGTAATCAGGAAATTGGGGGTTCGGGGTTCAAAGTTCAGGCCCGACATTGTGTCCTTGGGAAAGACGCTTGACACAAATTGTCCCCACTTCACCCAGGTGGGAATGGGTACCCGGCCATAGACAGTGAAAGATCTTGTCAGTATGTTAGTATTTTCATGCCTGTAAAATGGCTGCTTGCACTGTATGCTTCCCTGGAAGTTGAGATTGTGTGAAAATACTGTCAGGTGGGCTGGTGTGTCACTGCGCAGTGCTACCACTCATGTGAGTGTGTGTGTATGTGTGTGTGTGAGTGTGAGTGTGTATGTGTGTGTGTGTGAGTGTATATGTGTGTGTGAGTGTATGTGTGTGTGTATGTGTGTGTGTGTGAGTATATATGTGTGTGTATGTGTGTGTGAGTGTGTATGTGAGTGTGTATGTGTGTGTGTGTGAGTATGTATGTGTGTGTGAGTGTATATGTGTGTGTATGTGTGTGTGTTATGTATATCTAGACTGTCCCATGTGTCCCCCCCAGGCCCGTACACGCGTCCCCTCCATGAGCTGGCACGCTCGGTGCGACAAAAGAACACGCTGCCCTCCAACAGACATAAGTTTTACGGCTTTGTCGCAGGACTACTCAAGTGAGGAAAACTTTCTCTCTGTCTCTGTCTCTCTCTCTCTCTCTCTCTTTCTGTCTCTCTCTCTGTCTCTCTCTCCCTCTTTCCTGCTCTCTCTCTCTCTCCTCTCTCTCTCTCCTTCTCTCTCTCTCCTTCTCTCTCTCCCTCCCTCCCTGGGCTACCTGTCTGTCTGTCAGTTTGTGTCTGTGTGTCCCCCCATTACATCTATCTATGTATGTATCTGTCTGTCTGTGTGTCCCCCCCATTACATCTATCTATCTATCTATCTATCTGTCTGTCTGTGTGTCCCCCCATTACATCTATCTATATATCTATCTGTCTGTCTGTGCGTCCCCCCATTACATCTATCTATCTATATATCTATCTGTCTGTCTGTGTGTCCCCCCATTACATCCATCTATATATCTATCTGTCTGTCTGTGCGTCCCCCCATTACATCTATCTATCTATATATCTGTCTGTCTGTGCGTCCCCCCATTACATCTATCTATCTGTCTATCTATCTGTCTGTCTGTGTGTCCCCCCATTACATCTATCTATCTGTCTATCTATCTGTCTGTCTGTGTGTCCCCCCATTACATCTATCTATCTATATATCTGTCTGTCTGTCTGTGTGTCCCCCCATTACATCTATCTATCTATATATCTATCTGTCTGTCTGTGTGTCCCCCCATTACATCTATCTATGTATATATCTGTCTGTCTGTGTGTCCCCCCATTACATCTATCTATCTATCTATCTATCTGTCTGTCTGTGTGTCCCCCCATTACATCTATCTACACTGACGAGCAAAAGAAAGTGGACACCCTACGTTCTGTGCATTATTTCCGTTCTTTATCGTAATAATGCCGTATTGCCAATGGATTTTGAAAGGTGTGCCATTTTTTCTATAAGTGCAGACAAAAAACCTAAGAAAAACGATCAATAGCACACGTTTTATTAGAAATTCATAACACCG